GGGGGAGATTTGTGGAATAGAAGGGGTGATTAGTACCATACGTGGTAAATTTCACTTTCACCTTCACCTATCCCGTAGACTGGATGTCCGTCGGGGCACTTTTGAAGATTTGGCCACCAGCTTCCTCCACCCCATTCCGGTCTTCAGCTATCCTGAGTGTGTCTTTGACTTTGAGTTCCAGGCCTGTCCATTCCTTGATGTTGTCCTCCCAACTCTTCTTCGGTCTGTCTTTTCTCCTTTTTACCTGGATGCTGCCTTGCAGGATCATCTTGGCAAGGCCAGATGAACGGGTGATGTGTCCATATCATTGCAGTTGTTTGTGTTTCCTGACCAGAGTAAGAAGGTCAGCATATGGTCCGATTTCATTTTTGATTCATTGTTTGACTTCATCATTTGTGATGTGATCTTTGTATGAGATCCACAGCTTTGATCCTTCTTTCAAGGTCTGCCTTCAAGGTCCAGGTTTCACATGCATACAAAAATACAGACATGACCAGGGAATGCCTCAGTCTGATCTTTGATCTGATGGTGATATTTCTGTCATAATAATAATAATAGATAGCATTTGTATAGCGCAAATCCCCGCTCAACAGCAAGCTCTATGCGCTTCACAATCTATACTATTACCCCAGCAGACCTTAGAGCATTCTGAAACAACCTCAACTTTCTGGGAAGCATACAGTGCAAGCAGCCATTTATAGGCCCTAAACGCTAAGATTCTGACAAGATCTTTCGCTGTCTATGGCTGGGCACCCAATCCACGTGGGTGAAGTGAGGATGGTTTTCAACAATGTCATTGCTGCTGAAGTTTGCCCTTTTCTGGAGATTATTTCTGGTTTTAATCCTTTTCTGTCACTCTTGCACCCAGGTATTTGAAGCTGTGTACAGTCTCAAACCTCTGTTTTTTACCTGGATGTCCACTGGGATGTTCTTGCTGTTGTTAGACATCAGTTTGGGCTTCTCAGCACTGATTTCCATTCTGTAGGCTGTGGAGGTCTTTTCAAGACGGTCTACTAAGCTAACTAGTTCTTGTTCTTGTCCTGCAAGGCTGTCTGTGTTGTCTGCAAAAGGTAAGTTATTAATCGTTCTGTCCCCAATACTGATTGTTCCTTCGTGGTCTTCGCACTGTCTGTCATGATCCTCTCCAAGAAAATGTTGAAAAGAGTGGGTGAGAGCAGACAACCCTGGTGTACTCCCACTGTTGTACGGAAACATTCCCCAATGTTGCTGTTGAAAAAGACTGCGCTCGTAGCTTTGTTGTATAACTTTTCTATGACTTTGATCAGGTTGGCATTGGTGTTGTATAAGTTCATTGTTGCCCATAAAGCTTCCTGTCATACTCTGTGAAAAGCTTTTTTGAAGTCCACAAATACGTGGTGAAGCTCCTGTTGGTGTTGGAGGTACTTTTCCATGATGATCCTCAGGTTGAATATTTGTTCAGTTGTGCTGCGCCCAGTCCTGAAGCCTGCCTATTCTTCTGCTATAATTTTTTCTGTTTGTGGCTTCAGTCTGTTGAGAACGACTCTAAGCATTACTTTACTAGGATGGCTTATCAGGCTAATAGTACGATAGTTTTGGCCTTGTTGAAGTTGCCTTTTTTGGAAAGGGTGATGATCAAAGATTATGGTGTTGACCATTTGCCTGTGTGCCAGATCTTGTTGCGGATTATCCATAGCATGTCTGTCACAGAGCCTCCTCCTGCTTGAACTATTTCGGCTGTGATGTTGTCTATTCCAGCTGATTTCCCTTTCTTCAGTGATGAGACTGCTGCCACTATCTCTTCTCTAAAGATGCTGCTTTTGTCATTGTCTTGTGATAGAGAGACATAGAGCGCTCTTGGATCTCCTGTGGTTTTGTGGCTGTACAGTTCAGAGCAATATTCTGTCGGCCGGTTCTGAACTTCTTGTCCCTTCGTTAGATATTTCCCTTCTTTACTTTGTATTGAAGTGGTCCGCCCTTGTTTGGTACTTGTGAGATCTTTGATAATTTGATAAGCCTTTTTACTGTTATTTTGATTCAGGCCGTCTTCAATTTCTTCACACTGTTTTTCAATCCACTTCTCTCTAGCTCCTCTCATTCTCTTTTTCATTTGCAGATTCGTCTCTCTGTATTCTTTTGCACTTTCTGGTTCCTTTTTCTTGTTTTTCAGAGCTCTTCGTTTGTCACATAGGTCAAGGATGTCATCTGTGACCCAGAGCTTCTTTTTCAAGCGATGTTTCCGAAGGAGCTCGTTTGTTGTTCCTGTCAAGGTGGTGTTGAAGGTGTTTGTCAGGGAGTCAACTTCTGTATCATCTTGATTTAGCGCTAGGAGTGGAGCTAACTTTCCTCGTATGTTTGCTTGAAAACATTCTAATATGGTTGGGTCTTTGAGTCTGTCAAGGTTGAACTTGATCCGGGTGTTGCCTTGTTTCCTGTCCTTTTGTAGACGCAGTGAGAATGCCATCATGACAAGGTTGTGATCACTGCAGATGTCTGCTCCTGGAAAGCTTCTGGTCTTGGCAATATTGACACTGCTATGAAAGCGACGCTTGACCATGATGTAGTCTATCTGATGTAAATCTCCACTTGGACTGCACCTCATCCATCTCCTTGAGCCTTATATGGGCCGAAAGTGTTCATCAGCTTAAGGTGTGGTAAATTTAAGGTCCCTGAAATGTGGCTCGTCTATGTTAAGGCCAGTAAAAATTTGGTGAGACCCCAAGTTCAAAATCCACGTTGATTCTCTTTGATTGAGTTTGTCTTTGGTAAGATATCGAACTATTTCAATACCCTGAAGCTGCTGATCGGAGGCTCATCATCATCATCATCATCATCATCATCATCATCATCATCATCATCATTACTGTTTTCGTTTTTGTCATTGTTTTATTATTATGGCTGCAATTTTAAAAAAAAATTATTTTGTAACTTTTGATATTATTTACTTCCAGGAAAGACTATGGTAGAACATACTAGTGAGCTGTCAGCCATTCTGTCTGGACTTTCGGCTAACACGACGTATGACCTTCAGGTGACATGGATGTTCTCATAGTTATACATGTCTCTTTCCTTTGCCATTCTTGTTTTACACTTCAAGTGTCTGGCTCTCTGTCCAGGGTTGGGTTGATTTAAATCAGGTTGATTTAAATCAGTTGATTTTTTAAATTTAAATCAACTTGATTTTTTTGATAAAAATCAGTGATTTAAATCACTTTTTTAAAAATTTATTTTTATTCAGTTTTTACATATTTCAACATTCAGAATACCCTTCCTTGGTTTCATAAAACAGATATAAGGTTAAGTAGACTAATATAATTCATGTTTAAAAGTCTGCTTTCCCACCTTTCACTGTAAAATAATACAGTATTCAATTTACTTTTTTTTCCATAATTGAAATCAGAGCTGGGTTGATTTAAATCAGTTGATTTTTTTTATATTTCAAACAAATTGATTTTTAAAATAAAAATCAGTGATTTAAATCACTTTTTAACAAATGTATTCAGTTTTTACATATTTGAACATTCAGAATTCCTTTCCTTGGTTTTATTAAACATATAAAGTTTAGTAGACTAATATAATCATGCTTAAAAGTCTGCTTTCCCCCCTGTCACTGTAAAATAATACAGTGTATTCAATTGACTTTTTTTTCATAATTGAAATCAGGGTTGGGTTGATTTAAATCAGGTCAATTTAAATCAGTCGATTTTAAATTTTTTTTAATCAACTTGATTTAAGAAATAAAACTCAGTGATTTAAATCACTTTAAAAAAATGTATTCTGTTTTTACATCTTTAATTATTCAGAATTCCTTTCCTTGGTTTTATAAAACAGTATATAAGGTTTAGTAGACTAATAAAATCATGCTTAAAAGTCTGCTTTCCCCCCTGTCACTGTAAAATAATACAGCATTCAATTTACTTTTTTTTCATTATTGAAATTAACATTTTCTTTTTCTTTTTAGACAAACACAAGCGTGCACACACACACACACACACACTGTAATAAAATGCAAGTTTATCTATGCATAATTACCCCCCCCCCCACCCCTTCCTTTTAGACTGACATTTTCTTCATTTTTTGTCTGTAGTCATAATTCACTGATATATATATATATATATATGTGTATATATATATATATATATATATATATATATATATATATATATATATATATATATATATATATATATATATATATATATACTATTATATAGCAGATTAAGGCTTTCTTTTGAGGTTGCTTAATTTAATCATTAGTTAAATTAAGACAATGCATTTTGCACTAAAAGAACATACTTTTAGCAACCAAAAATCCCAAACTGTCGACATTTTAAAAAAAAATCAAAAAAATCTGATTTAAATAAAAAAAATCATGATTTAAATCAAAAAAATCAATTCTTTTTATTTTTTTGAAAAAAATCAAAAAAATCACCAACCCTGTCTCTGTCACTGTGTGCTAGTGGCTGGGGGGTACTCTGCTGTCCTTTGATGCTTCATTTGTTTTTATCTTGCCTTTTCTGCTTCTTCCTTTTGTATCTTCTGCTTCTTCTAAAGTACATCTCAGACCAGTTGTATGCCACAGCAAGAGACAATTTCCCTCATGAATGAGATTGAGATAGAGAATTGTGTAGGAAACTGCCCCGGAAATATCAGCTATGGTGTCATCTAGATTATGTAGGACTGTAATCCACTCAGACAAAATATAATAACAGATAGCAGTTGAATAGCACAAATTCCCTCTCAACAGCAAGCTCCATGCGCTTTACAATCGATATTCTTACCACAGCAGACCTGATAGCATTCTGAATTAATCTCAACTTCCTGGGAAGCATAGGGTACAAGATGCCATTTTATAGTTGCTAAAACACTAATAAACTGACAAGACAAGATATGATAGATGCTATGATTACTTGCCTTAAATAGCAACTCATCAGGAACTGCTGTCCTCTTTCTCTTTCTTTCAGCCTCTTTTACTTTCCTCATCGCTTAGGTCTGACACATCAATAGACTACTAGGGTAATCCCTAGAATTACAAAGTTCTATCTGCTCAGTATGGTACCTAGTTTTTAGAAGTTTGACGTAAGAAATTTTGAATTTCACATGTCAAGCTTTTTCAATTGCAGTTCTTTGAATGTCTTGATAACGACCCTGAATAATCTTGCGATTTTTATAGTGTGGGTAGAACATTTGGTTTCTGACCTCGTGGTCTTAGTAACTCAAAATGGCCAAAAATGTCATGTCAGGTAGAACTATGACATGTACGAGGGCTGTCCCACGGAAAACCGGAATTTGGCTGAAATTTGAAAACTATTCAATATTTTCACATTCTGTAAACGCACACTTGTAAAACAATCATATTGGAATTTCCCGATTGAACACCATGAGCATCGCACAAACCAAACCAACACAGCAGTTCTCCAAAGATGGCTACCCACTTGGAAAATTGGTCAAGGATAGAAGTGAGATCTGTCATTCGGTTTCTGACCGTAAAAGGTCTCAAACCTATAGAAATACACGCTGAAATAAAGTCAGTTTACGGGGAGAAAGTAATGGCAAAGTCACAGGTTTATGAGTGGAGTAGTAAGTTCAAAGCTGGGCATACGGATATCAATGACAAAGTTCACCCAGGACCTTGTTCTTCTGCCAAGACTGAGGACAACAAGAGTCGTGTTAACGAACTCATTCAAACAGACAGGGGCCTAAAAATTCGCGAAATTTTCGAGTCGCTAAACATTTCAAAGTCAACTGTCCATAGGATAGTGTTTGATGAGCTGCACTATCGAAAGGTCTCTGCTCGATGGGTCCCAAAAGAGCTGACAGCTGACCACAAGACGCGTCGTGTTGAAGTGTCTCAGACTTTGTTGAATCGTTGTCGCCAAGCTGTCACGGGAGTCATGAACGCATCTGGAGACCTCCAACAATACGATGAAGCATTCATGAGAAGCATTATTACAGGTGATGAGACTTGGATACACCACATGACCCCTGAGGTGAAGAGGGATTCAATGGTTTGGAAGCACACGTCTTCACCTCCCCCGAAAAAGTTTAAAGTTCAGCCATCGCTGAAGAAACTCATGGCCACGGTTTTCTGGGATGCTAAGGGTGTTCTGCTTCTTGACATTCTGGAAGGACAAACTGTCAATGCTAACAGATACTGCCAGACTCTTGATAAGTTAAGAGAGGTTGTGCGCCGAAAAAGACCAGGTCGGTTGTCCAGCGGGGTAATTTTGCAGCATGACAACGCAACGCCACACACCGCAAACGCTACGAAAGACTGGATCCAAAGGTTCGGCTGGGAAGTTCTGCCACACCCACCTCACAGTCCTGACTTGGCCCCGTCAGATTATCATCTTTTTGGACCAATGAAACGCCATATTCCTGGACAGCGATTCACCGACGACGAGGACCTCGTGGAAGCCGTGAAAGATTGGTTGAAATCCCTTGACGAAAAATTCTTCAGGGACGGTGTCTTCTCCCTGATCCAGCGATGGAAAAAATGCGTCCAGCGGGATGGTGATTACATTGAGAAATAAAGCACACGTTGAGGTATGATGTGTTACATTTTTATTATAATAGGACAAAGATTGTTGCTTTTATGGACTTTTTCCGGTTTTCCGTGGGACAGCCCTCGTAATTCTATGGTAGTGTAGTGGTTAAAATAAAGGACTTGTAATCGTGAAGTTGCTGTTTAGGGGCTCAAGACTCTGCTCCACCTGACGTCAAAGACAGATCTTGTCAGTTTCCTAGCGTTTGAGTGCTTTTTAGGCTGCTTGCACTGTATGTTTACTGGAAAGTCAAGAATGTTTCTGAGTGATATGAAATCTGCTTGGGTAAAGCGTGTAGAACATAATATGTGGGGCATCGTGGTGAAATCAGGTGCTCGTCAAAATAATAAAATTCAAGAAGCAGGCATTTTTCCTCCAGTTTGTCAATTTTTTTCGAAGTTTTAGTTTTTTTTTCACTCATCACCTTTTATATCCTTATATAAACACATTTCCATGTGAATTTTACTGAAAAATGTTGATTAACAGATTAACTCATTCGCTACGCCGAGCTGTGGGGGGGGCGGCGCGGCTAAAGTGCCGTCAGTACGCTAAGCCACCCCCGGCGGCTCGAGAACCGATCTTCAATTTTAGCTTAGATTCTATTCCAGTCCACATATCCTTGTTAAATAAAGGTCATAATATAATGTTGACTTTCAGATCAAGCATTTCCACTGAAAATCGGAAATTCAGATTCAGTTTTGAAACGCGATTTCGTAGTTTATTCGACTTTGTTTTATCGCGATGCCAAAATTATAGCCTGACACCAGTCTTAGTAATTTTACACAACAAAATCTATCATTATTTTGGCCACTAAAGAAATGTAGGACTCTTTTTAATAATATTGATACGATTGGACGCATATTGCCAAGGCACTATTATTGAGAAATCAATGTTTTTGAGTGCTAGATCTAGGTCTAGATCTAAATTGTCGAATATTTTTTTTCTCCCAAAAATCACTACTTTTTGATGAAATTACACAAAAAGTGCCGCTCAAGACATGTATATGTTTATTCCAAATGCAATTCTGAATAATTCCATATATTATGATACGAGTGGGTTTTTTTTCTATTTGTGATTGTTTTCTAGATTATTAAAAAAATTGTGAGGCAGCGTGGTGAAATCAGGCTCTCGTCAAAATAATCAAAGTGAAGAAACTTACATTTTTCCGCCGGTTTGTGAATTTTTATCAAATGTTTGTTTTTTGGTTCAACACCTTTCATGCCTATTAAAGAACTCATTTCTGTGTGTATTTTTCTTTAAAACGTTGATTAAAGGCACACAAAATGTAAATTTTCAGTTACCACGGACCCTTAGCTTAAAGAAATAACTAACCTTGGTGACCATTTTTTCACTAATTTTACTTCTGAAAACGGGTGACCCCTACCTTCTTCATTCCCAAATATCTCAACTTGTTTTCATGGTAAACAGAATTTTTTTCAAACCAAATAAGAACAAGTGAACAAGCTTTAAGAAGATACCAATAACA